GTTGGATCGGTCATGCGTTTTAGATGCCAACCGGAGGTATTTTACTGATGCTGCGTTTCCTACACCAAGAGGCTCAAGAAATTCGCCGATAACGTCGCCCTTGTGTACGAAGACAAAAGTGCATTAAAACAGTGTTTACAAGTGGTCTACTCGATACACCCTCATGGTGTCATGTCATTCTCATGTCATGTCCGTTCATGAGAGAACTCTGGCTTGCACTCGGTCTCATTGATGCAGGGCACGCAACTTGCATGAAGGCATTGAAGCAGGGCTACAGTCTCACTCTACTCCTCGGTGGCACGAAAGAGCAGTTGATACCATACTCGCCTGCTCATGATACCATCGTATGCAAGTCGAGGAAAGGGTTCATTTATCTGGCTAGGGGTGCTGGGAAAATACCGATCGTGCCATGCTATTGTTTCGGAGAGCAGATAGCTTATGGCAAGCAATACCGTAACAGCTCTGATTCAGCAGTGTTATTTCTCAGAAACGAGTGCCTTCATACTCCCCTCCCGTCGGTGGGTGCAACATAACCTCGGCGTGGGCATGCCGCTCCCCAAGTCACTGCGCCCGAAGCCTTTGAAGGATTTCGTAGTCGTTATTGGCGCCCCTATCATATGGCAAGAAAATGACACCGTGAATACCATGCATGCTAAGTGAGATGATTCACATCCGACTTTTACTCCATGATCAACATCGACAGTTTTACATACAGCTTATACAGTCCTATCATTGAAGTATACCTCGCTGAGCGAGGCTCGCTCCGCTTGCAGATACGTTTCGGCGACTCGTGATCTCTTTTACAGGAATCGTGACCGATACGAAGAGTATGCTGAGAGAGAAATTGTTATTCAGTGACCGCTTATGCATAGTTGACAACTATTAGTTTTTTTTCTCTCTTCGTATAACAGTGTTCAGTAATCAATCATCAGAATCCCTGCGTAAACCACGACTTGTGACCAAGTCTTGATCATGAAAGGGGCCCATGATGGGCCGCCCATCACTCTTGCTGATGGCTACGACAGAATTCCTTCACTCTTCTCCCTTTCTGTGAGTGCCTTGCTCTAGTCGTTTCAATGGATTGTCATCATGCCCAAGCCCTAGACTTAGCTGTCCTCAGCCAACTGTGGTGCTCCCGAGATTGTCATGGTATGCTGCCGGAGCTCCAATACGATGTAGCTCAATTTCTTGGCACGCGAGAACCAGGTTTGGTCGAACGTGATTGTGCACGTCTGAGAGCGGAGCAACTGCCATCACTGATATTCAATCGGAAGGGCTCCCTGTGGGTCGTAGATGAATCTTCGAGAAGGGTAGCCAGAGCCCGCTGCATCGACAGTTCCGAAACGACATCGATCGAACCCATCAGGAACGGCTATAGGGTTTGCTACGACTACGACGACGTCAACGACAGACTGTATGCCTTCGACTGCGAATACCATAGAATCTTCGTGTACAAGCTCGATAATCCCGAGTTCTGCCAAGAAATCGATGTTGGCTCTTACGACGAATATGCAATGAGCAGCAAGTGCCGATGTCTCGATGGACTTGTCTTTCTCGCCTATGTCAATACTGAACGCACCACTGCGCTGCGCTGTGTCGACTTGAGGGACACTGCGAAACCCACTGAGGCGCGATTACTTTGGACGTATGGTGGTCGATTTTATGGCAGTCGACTCAGAGATTTCATTGTGAGTCGAGTTCCTGGCCAGAGAGGACACTATACTTTCGCATACGTGTATGCTG